TTCCCAGGCTCTCATCTGTGATAAACCATTTTAGAAGTTTAATTCTTCACTGTTTTGGTTTTATATGGAAATATGAATTCCTGCATAAGGATGAAAAATGAGTGAATTAGTTGTTGATTTCATGGAGTTTATAAGCCATTTTTCTTCTTTTCTTCTTTTCCCCACCCCACTCCAGCAGTGTGCAGGGTAGAAGGGAACAGGACCCATATGTCAGTGGTCTAGGATGGCCAGTGAAGGCTCCAACATCCCAAGTCCTGTGGTCCGTCAGATTGACAAGCAGTTTCTGATTTGCAGCATATGCCTGGACCGTTACAAGAACCCCAAAGTACTTCCCTGCCTGCACACTTTCTGTGAGAGGTAAGTCCTTTCCTCATGCTGGTAACTAGGTATTTGTGTCATGCAACAAGCACAGAACAATGCATCTTTTAGTGGATGGGGACTTTTCTCTTTACTTGTAAAGGTCATGTTAAGGCACGATAAAGTCTCGGAAGGCTGGAGAGGCAGGGATGTAGAAAAACACTGTTATTTGTGGCAGGCAGGAAGAAGAGACAGCAGTGGAATATTTGGAATACATTCCCTTTATGCAAGAGTAAATGAAAAGTAAATCCAATGAAACTAATGAATACAGTTACAACAATGTGAAAGGTGATGGCAGTCAGAGTTGGGACCTCAAATTAATGGCCTCAAATTTATTTGAGACCGATTAGCCTATAATTAGAAACAATAAAAACCTTTCTTTGTTGATTTATTAAGCAGCGAAATAATTATCCCGTTCTGTCCAAGGGTTAGACATGATATATACTTATTAATAACCTGTGATTAAATGTCTTTATTATTCTGCAGCTTGGTTGACTGAAGTGGAAAAATTCTCTGAAAATACACGTGATAAAACAGCAACCTGCCTTATACTGTATTCAGCTGAATGAATTGAATATACATAGTGATACTTTAACATTATATTATCCATCAAATGGTGGAGAAAATACAGCATCTGCAGAAAAGTTAGCTGAAGAATTATTGGTTAGAGTTCTTTATCTGATGATGGGATGCAACTCTTTGGACTATATATTGAATGGCAGGACAATTTTAATAAATGGTATTTTGTGTGAACATTTAGTTTAGGAGATTTCAACCTCTTAGCTAGAATTGTGGTGTGCATATCTAATTTTGCCCAGGGTGCAAGAAATTGTGGATCTCTGAGTGTGTCAGATGAAATGGTCTTTTATAGAAGAATAGGAAACCCCAACTTTACTGAAGTCAGCAGTGAAACTCTCACTGAAGTCAGTGAAGTCAAGATTTTCACCACCGTGTCTTAAGTTTCTTGACTTCAGTTCATGTGTAAATCCTAAGGTCAGCTTCTGGTTTTCACTGTAATCCTCTTATGCTGATCTGGTTATGGAGAGAGGTTGGAAGAACTCCTCCAATGTACTGCTGATGTACAAAACCCAAGCTCTCCTTTCACAGGGCCCTGTGGGAGGTCAGGGGGAGAGCTGCCAAGGGAGGATGAAGATTGGTGCAAGCAAAGCCCTTGGAAGTGGATAAGAGCTGTGTAGCTGTGCGAGGTCACACTTTCTTGGTTGGCATCTCATGAGGAATTTTAGACTCCTGAAGAACTGCATTCTGCAAAGCTTATGGGACTATACTGAATTGCCAATTGCAGTTGGATGTTGCATGCCCAGCAGCTGTTAACTTGATTTTCAAGGTCAAAAGTGGCACTAACTACCACCTAGACCAGTCTGCTGCATATTGTTGATCACAGAACTTCTGTGTCAGATTTATATTCTCTGAAATTCAGTTCTTCTTAAAAATAAAACAAAACAAAACTCTTAAACAAAACCAAACCCACCCCCCAATCAAACAAAACCAAACAAAAATCTTCCCCCAAAACTCCCCTTAACATAAACTGTGATAACCCAGGACATGCTTCTCTATGTAGTAAAGAGAGCTCTGTTGATTCTGGCTAACTGCCAAATAACTTTCCTAATTTAAATAAATGGAAGAATTTCCATTGGTTTCATTGGGACCAGGTTTTAGCTCTGAAACACTAAACCCACAGATACAAGCTAATAAAGGAGGTTCTATTGGAAAGACCAGGGTCAACCACTGGTTAGTCAGACACAGGTTCAAATACTTGGTGCAATAACTTCATGCCTGTCAAACTTTATCTGATAGTTTATCATTTTTACTACCCTGTGAGCAGGATGCAGTACATGTCTGGAAGCATGGATCCACTCTGCAGAAATATCTCAAAGAAAGGCACATAACTATTAAAATGATATCAGCTTATTGAACTTTTTTCATGTGGCAGAGAAAAAAGACCTAAAGGAAAAAAAAATCCCCATAACCACTTTTACTTCTGAAGCCTGGTGATGTAGCTTTCCTTTTATAAGTAAGGGTAGCACTATTTCAAACCAGTTCTTAAACTGAAGGGAGTTTTTTTCCTCTTTGATGATATTTTGCCTCTCTCTTTCTCTCCTTCCACCTCCCTTCCCCATAGGTGCTTACAGAATTACATTCCAGCTCATAGCTTAACCCTTTCTTGCCCCGTGTGCCGCCAGACCTCCATTCTGCCAGAGAAAGGGGTTTCTGCACTCCAGAACAATTTCTTTATCACCAACCTGATGGATGTCCTGCAACGAACGCCGGACAACAGCATTGAAGAGTCCTCCATCTTGGAGACTGTCACCGCTGTTGCTGCAGGCAAACCGCTCTCCTGCCCCAATCATGATGGAAATGTAAGTGAGATGAACTCCTGTGATACGTACTGATACATACTGACTGGTCTGGTTTGTCATGGATATTTTGTTCTAAAAAGATAGTGGGGGAATTGGAATCACACTAGTTCTTTGATTTTATAATATGTCAACAAAAGACAAGAGATTCTTAAAATTAACTCAAATGCTCTTAGTGGAGCATCTTAAAGTTGTGAGGATATTATTTCATCTTACCAATCATCATGGATGATACTGTCTTTTAGCACATTTGGTCAAAATTTTTGTCCTGCAAGCGCTGAACCTTGTGCCTTTGCCCTTTGCCTCTTTGGGATGGGTTTCCATGGCTCTCTTATTTGTAGATTCAACTATTGCCATGGGAACACGTGGGCTTGTTTAGGCAGTATGCGTCAGGGACCTTATAAGTTTAACTGACCTGCACACTGAGGCAGTACCAAAAGCTGTGTGAGCATATTAACATGGAGCCAAGTAAAAAGGTGTCCTAGCTCAGGATGCTTTGGGTCAGCACAGGCTGGAAACAGAGAGCTTGTGTTTATCCTGCAGTGTTTTGTGCATCTCATGTATCAGTCCTTGGAGGCTGCTTTGTTTTTTTCCCCCACCTACTTTTTTTGCCTGGCATCCCCCCACATACACCCTCAAATCATATCAGTGTATTCATTGGCAAGTACACCCAACTGAGTAAGTATCCCCGGATTATTACAAGAACAGCTCTAACTCTGCTTACTTCACAATTTTCAATGTTAACCTGTGTGGCTTCATGGTAGGTATATGAGCTCCTGTTTCATAGCCAGGCTTATGCAAACATGTAAGTAGACCACATTGCAAAGCTGAGCAATGCTGTGTTGTAAACTGAATGCTGTGCTTCTATGCAAGCCAAGAAATATGTGCCAGTATTTCTGGGAATGTTTTATTTGATACTCAGTTTAGGTATATAGGTGGTATAGGAATAATTCAGCTGATAGATAGTGATTACTCTTACAGAGGAACAGCTCAGTTCCCTCTCCTTTACTGATCTGCTGGAATTAGGTGGACTTGTAGAACTGATTTGCTGTACACTCTGATTAATGAATAACTGGTTTAACTTTTTTAATGTGTACTATAGCTATGTGTGTAGTGGTTACTGATTAATACATTCCTAATTTTTATTTGCATTTTATTGGCTCTCCTTAAAACGAATCATAGTTCTTTTCTAATGTAACAATTGTGATAGGAGCCATTTGATTGTGAAATGCAGAAAAAAGTCAAAATGAGATGTTACTTGTTTTGCATTTTATATTATCAGCTGATGATTCTTTGGGTGTGCTTAGAAAAAAAAACTGGTTTGCCTACAATTAAAAATATGTCACCTTATAGCTCTCTGAGAACTCCCTTCTAGGGAAAGGTGGGTCTGTAAGTCCTCTAAACCAAACTTACTTGGCTTGCCTTGAAACATAGCATGCCTTTTAGGATGCTGAGTAATGTGTGACGGGAATATCTTCTCGTTTCAGTAAGTTTCTGGGAAGGTTGAGGACAGGCTGAGAGTGACTCCAATTTAAAGCTTTGTGAGCTAGGAAATTAAAAGCTAAAGTGCACACATTAGTCCTTGTGATGGGAGGAGCTGAGATGAGCTTTGGGGAGAGCTGCTTCAGGCTGGCCAGGTGGGTCTGGCTGATGGGCAGGGTGTGCAGGGCAAGGTGCTGGGCACCTTACGCCTGACTGAGGAAATGGGCTTTTGTTGGCTTCATGGGTACACAGCACAAGGGCACTGTGTGGCAAGTGCCTGGCTGCTAGCAGCTTTGCTGGGGGCTTCAGGGAGTGAGAGAGGACTGAGGTGCTAGCTGGAGGAGAATACCTTCACAGAACCAGCAGTCATTCTGCATTGAATCTTCTCTCCGTTAATTTTTACATACTGCTTGGGGGAGGGTCACACACATTGTATTTTTACTATCAAGGGAAAAATTTGCCCTGAGTATATTTCATTTAAATATTACCAGATTTTCTTTATATTAGCGTGGAAATAAGTTTGCGTTTAAACAAGTTTTTTCAATCTCTCCAGCCATGCTGGATTTAAACCTCTCTGATTAAGATCAGATAGAAACTGATGCGCAGATACTTTCTCATTGGCTTGCCTGTCTGCTTGTAACTTAGCCTTCCTCAGGCCATGTAGATTAGATACTTTCCCTTCCAATTGGTCTCTTATTCCCACCACTCATATTTTCCATACGTCTGTGTGCATCCTACTCCTGTGCACATCCTCTCATCCTCTGTTGTGGCATCTTTGTTGTGTGTGTTCTTATGAAAAATGAAACTTAGCTTGTAGTATCTTAACATGAGAGATGTTTTCCTGTGCTTGAACTATAAACAAATGCTTCCTCATATTCACCCAACACAGAGCACAAATGTATGTTCTTGTTAAATTGGGGTAATAGGGCACATATGTTATGGAAGTTTTGAACCTAACAGAAGATTCTTATCTTCTATCTACATATTAAAAGAAAATTGGCTTTATTCTCAGCTGCTAAACACCTGCAGCTCTTGTTGGATGTAAGCATCCTGGTTTGGAAACATTGGTCTATAATAACTTAGGGACCAGGTACAACAGCCAAGACAGGGAAGGCTGTGAAATTGTACGTCCATTACTTCATAATATGTAATGAGTGGTGTAGCCTCTTTGCAGTCACCCATCCGGAAAAGTCCATGCTTGGGTTTTATTTGAATTTGAAGTGAAAGCCAGCCCAGAGTCTAGGATCCGTGCCTTTACAGGTGCAGTGTATTTTCTGCCTATAGAGTATAACAAAGAGCATACCCAATATTAAATTAAACGCTTGTAACAAGAGAGCAATGCCTTATCTCTGACTAGCTTTTTCTCAAAAGATCATAGACTAGCTTGGCAACTTGACAGGTATAAGATCTTGTCTAGAAAAACATTTCCTGAACTTGTGCAGGTGTTGCTTACGGCCTGTATGCTTCTCTTAGAAAAATAAAAAAAGCACCTATCCTTGATATTCTGATGAAGTCACTTCATAACATACCTTTTAAACCTTGTTTTTTCTCCTCACCTCTGTACTTCCCACCATTGTCACTTACTCGTGTATCCCATTAAAGTGTAATCTAGTTTCTTCTGTACTCTGCAATATTCAGTGTGTCATTGAATACTAAATACAAAATTCAGAATGTCGGAGTTAGATTCTTAATGAGCATTAGAACTAATAAACTGAACTCACTGCTGGCGAAATTTTGTTCTGCCTCACAAGGAACATTTAATACAGTTAGGAAGCAATAGGTGACTGATACAATAATATCTGACTGAATTGGGAAGTCATACAAGAGTTTTGGGTGGTTCACTTGTATGTAAGTATGTTGTTTAAGTCATTATAGTCTTACAAAACTTTTTAAAAAATTTGCTTAAAGCTTTCAGGTTTACTGCATGGGTAAGGCAAAAGCTAGGACTAGGGAGAACAAAAGCCCACATTCTAAATTTTACCAGGTATCTGGGAAGTGCCGTCAGGTAATCCAAACTTATATTCTTCTAAAAGCCAAAACATACAAAGCTAAGGTACACATTAGCCCTGAGACAGAGGAATTAAACATGTGTGTGAGATGAGGAAGAAGGCTGGCAAGGAGCAGACTCATCCTTTTTCTTTGGACTGCTGTTTTAATTCAAACAGATAGAAAGCAGAGGATGAACAATGTGATTATTCAAATGTGATTTTAGATAAGGGCGGCTTGTGATTGGTGAGAGCCATTTTCTCGAGACCTGAACTTTGAAGGTCTGGAATTAGTGTCCTTTGGCCTTTGTGAAATATAATTCAGAAGTACCTGCATCCTTGATTATGCAAATTAAAAAGTTTCTGTAAATTCAGTTAAATTACAGTAGTGAAGATATGCATGGGTCTCTAATTAGATCACTGTGCTGAAATATGCTGGTCAGGTTTAAGGTGGGAGTTAGTGGATGGGATTTCAGAACCAGTGGGTATTAATTCACATTTCATTACAGCTGATGGGAATGTTCTCATTGACCAGTGGAAATACACCTGAAGCCAGTGTTGGATGCCATAGTATATCCTGCCCAAGAGTTCTCTTCAATTTGGAAAGGAGGGGTTCAGGCAAACATTTTTTTCTGAGATGTTTTGTGAAGCAAACCTGTTATCATGAAAAGCTTTCTGGGAAAGTCACAAAATGTGATGCCCATGTTGGGCATTGAGGGGAAAGAGGAAAAGCCAGTAACACATGTCTGTTTGTAGTTAGAAATTAATCTTACGTGATTAAGAAATGATAGACAAAATGTTAGAAAATAAGCTTATTTAGGCACTTGAAGCCTGAATCATATTAATATTAGGTTTTCTTTTTCCTTCAGCTATGGCACAAAGATTTTAATGGGAAATGAAAGCTGCCTCACTCAAAACATCTTGAATTTGACTGAGGCAAAGACGACTATTTCTATGCAGACATACACATTAGGTCTTTGTGGTCTGCTTGCTATTAGCATTCTAGCTTACGTGATTCTCTGGTGCTTGAATAAAGAGGAAAAAAGTTGATTAGGCGAAACTTTAATATGCCAATGAGATGCTTTCTTTCTTATATATGTTGCTGCAAATATAATGTTTATTATGAGGTGTTCAATAGGAAACAGAAATATGAAATTATTCTAAGCCTTGTATCCAAAGATAAAAATATTTAATAAGTAAAGGGCTTGTTAAAATATCTTGAACCTAAGCATTAAATTATGAAGAGGAAGAAAGATGAACTTTAGACACTCATTCAAAAGAAATGAAATTTTTTGACCATATAAAAAGACTTAAGAGTTTCTTAATAAAATATTGTTCATTTTGGTTGTTTCTGGTTGCAAAGTTTTTAAGCCTTTGAAAAGAATTTAAATCCTAAACTCTGTTTAACTTATTTCCTCTATGTACTGTAAGACTGTGTCACATCTTAGTGCCTACCAAAGTAACTATCAGGCCTCAGAGGATCTACTACTCTGAGACTGCTAAATTCACAGTGACTGGTGTAGTATTGATGTGGTTGTCATTGTTCAGAAGATCTACTTTTTTTTTTTTCTTGCTGATATATTTGATCTTACAGTTTATTTGGAGCAGCTTTTAAATTTTCTCTAAAGTGGCTTACACGAATGGCCAACAAATGACTAAACCCTCATTGCATGTGAATCCCTTATCTTGTGAATTGAGATAAGATAGAAGAATGGGAATATGATGGAAAGGAGCTTATCAGAGGAAAATCCCTATTAATGCTAATAGCCACATGCAAATCATGGTTCTTACTTCTCCCTCCTAATTCTCAAGATGTTTTGGAGCAGCCAGCTACTTTGCACAGTGCTGTTACAGATCCCTCTGCTCACCTGAAAACAGTCAGTTGTACACAACCATCTTGTTCTCAACCAACATCTCCAGCACAACCATCTTTGTGCAAGAGGTCTGATTGCCAGAAGCATCAGCCGAGTTATTCAAGATTCTGATGCTATGTTCTGAATGCAAGAGAGCTTCCAATGTCTTGCTTTGACGCATATACTACGAGCTTCCTTATATACTTGTAATAAGCCTAAAGTGTTTTGTGCTCAAGGACTTCCTAGCTGTAAAAGAAAATCTCATGCCAAGTTTGCGTATATATGCATTATTTTAACTAACGTATGATTTTGGGCACAGCGCTTTTCTATTTCTTTTCCTTCATGAATATATTCAGAATTTGGGGTATTTATTACATGTAAAGATCTTTTTTTATCTTCAGACAGCATCTTACTGGGTACATAACAGGTTGAAACAATCTCCTCCTCTTTCAAGTGTAGATCAGCACTCTTACTGTAATCTCAGATATGAGGTTTTGATGGTTTTAAGGGATTAGTAATGGGATATGGAGATTTTTCGCTGCAGCAGGTTGGTTCATTTAGGGTGCTTTTCTCTAGCAAATAAACATGCTGTTTGGTGAGCTCTGTTGAGTTTATGTTCCTTGGATGACCCTGTTATGAAAAACAGCCTAAGTTTACACTTTCTTTGGCTGACCCTCTGGGGAGACTAAGGATCGAGTTAGTGAGGGGGCTTGAATGCCCTGGTATTTTGAGTTGTTTCATGGAGTACTTGAGAGAGACACCAAAATTTACTATTACACAGTATAAAGATGATGTTAAAGCCAGCCTTGAAATCCAGCATTCTGTCTCCCAGGCTGCTGTTCTGATAGAATAAAATGCATTCAAACCAGCATTTTGATATGAAATATATAAGAATAACAGCCACCTTTTAGGCAGTAAATTATTGGTGTCTAAGAAAGGAGAAACTTTGTCTCAGAGCTTGGATAATAACATGAGTTCAAGACACAGTAAGATGTGCTTTGAGCGATGTTACTGCTGCCATGTTTGAATTCAGAGTTGTGCACTTTTCCAGGTGATGGAGTTTTACTGCCAGTCCTGCGAGACAGCCATGTGCCGCGAGTGTACAGAAGGAGAACATGCAGAGCATCCCACGGTACCACTCAAGGATGTGGTGGAGCAACACAAGGCTTCCCTCCAAGTCCAGTTGGATGCTGTCAACAAAAGGTATGGAGACGCCACTGATTATTGTCCATTTTCAGTTCTGCCACTGGCTTCCTGTATTACCTTGGGTTTTAATGTGCTGGTGCCATGGACCTCTACCTAGAAAACAGGGATAGTGAGGCTAGCATAAGGAAAAAAATCCATTGAGTGTGATGTGCTGAGGGATAACAGAAAAGAGCAGAAGATTCCTATCTGTCTTTCACAAACCAGAGGCCATTAGAAATGCAAGTGTCCTCCAAAGAAGGGGCATAAAATGTTAAGGAGAAAAGTACTAGTCAGTCATGAATTTCATGATAAATTAATAGTACCGGATGCTTAAAACACTAGTACAAACACTATGGTGGCAGAAAGGCTAAAAAAAAAGAAAAAGTGGGGTAGATCTAGTTGTATCTTCCCAAGTAGATATATTTGCATAACAGACAGAGGATCCAAGGCCTCCTTGCTGGAAATGCCTGAAGTCTAATGGATTTCCACAAGGGAGGGCCCTGGCTTAGCCTTATTTTATCAGACCAAAACCACTATGTGGTTATAAAAGGAATGAACTTTTGGGAAATGACCGAGTTTAAAGACAGCCTGCTGATGAGATTTTTTCATCAAAAGATATCAGGGCAAGAGCCAATGTTTAATGACTTTTGAAACAGCAATCTTTGTAATTTAATCCCTCCCTCAGGCTTCCAGAGATCGACTCAGCACTTCATTTTATATCTGAAATCATACACCAGTTAACCAACCAAAAGGCTAGCATTGTAGATGACATTCATTCCACTTTTGATGAACTCCAGAAGACTTTAAATGTGCGAAAGAGCGTGCTGCTTATGGAACTGGAAGTGAATTATGGCCTTAAACACAAAGTAAGATGCATGTTTTGTTTCAGTGAAAAGCTATTAATTTAATCGGGCAGTTTTTACAAATGATGCAGGACACCAGTTTGATAAATTGTGTCTGAGACCCAGAGGAGAACTTTGTTTTCCTGAAATCAAGTGCTGCAGAGCCTCGCTTGTGGGTGCCTAGCCTCATAAATGGAATCCAGACCCTGTATGGGCAGGTAGCCCTTTGTGCATGGTGTGTGAGTATCTAAAATGGCCAACACACTAAGCGGGAGTCTGCTTAAAGCCAACAGGTTGATGTGCAGATGACAATAAAGGAACACCAAAGGAAAGTCTGAAATCCTTGGGCTGCAATCCTATGAACCCCCCCCTGAAGATACAGGCCAAACAATTTCTGCTGAAGAACTGAACAAGGCTTACGGTTTTGCTTTAAAGCACTGTTTTCCTTTCAAATGCCTGGTAACATATTTCATGTTAGATGTCACTGGATGGAACACATAAAGATTGCAGGGACATCTGACTTTCTCAGAGGAATGCAGAGAGCAATAAATTCCAGAACTGTATTCACTCTTTTACTTCCTATCTGGATGATTGAATCTTGCATTTTTCCCCCTGTATTGTAGACTAAGCTTCAGAGGAAGAAAACAGAAATCTGCCTTTTTACAAAGAGAAGCCTGTAGCCTGATAGGTAGGGTTTTTGTTGAGGATTAGTAAGTCTGAATCAGGCAAATGAAAGAATTTAGTCCTTGTCTTCCTGGGCATCAGTTGTTTTATATAAAAGAAAGATCTCTTCCCTCAAAGCAGCCTTTAAAAGAAACTAGCATCAACAACTGGCGTTTCAAAAGCGCCTGATAATATTGGCATCTTTGGGCATTCTCTGTGATTACTGAGCAGCTTGAGCATCTCTAGATGTCTGAAGCAGAGGAATGCTGCATTCCTGGATCTGGAACAGGCTTGATCATTAGGAAGGTATTGAACTGCTGGGGCTGTGAAAATGGAGGAATTCTAACATGTGCACAAGATGTGTACTTTCAGGTACATAGGGAGCCCAAAACCCTAGGGGCACAGAATTCAGTCATCTCCAGAGCTAAGTAGCAGCTGAGGACCTTTTAGCATCAAAAATTTGGACTTAGATCCCAGGTTCATGTAAACATATCCAAGATATTACAAAAACTTATTTTCTTCGCAAACAGATATACTCAGTGTGTGTACAAAGTTCACACAAGATGGAATATGATGTTAAATTATCTTATTGTTGTTTAAAGGGATTTAAAATAGTTTAAAAATTATTTTGAGCGTTTTACAAAGCTGCACATAAGCAGTAGAAGAGGCATCTCCCCTGTTTGTATAAAAAAGAGTGATTGGAATTGGATTTTGTTTTTGAATGAATTGTAGTCCTGCAAAATAATTCAAACCCAATATTCCATCATTCTGATCATGTACTTTGCAAAAATGAAAAAACGAAAGGGTTACACTTTACTAAAAGAAAGTTGGCAATTCAGTTTCAGTTGTCCAATGGACTGAAAGAGGCCTCATGTAAAATACTCTAAACATGTTTTAAATATTAGTTATGGTAGGATTGAATATTTTCCATCCTTGTAATGAAAGAAAACTATGTTGAGAAAATAATGGTTTGAAAATGTAGCTGCAAATTGTTTTCCTCCTCAGTTTGTGGTTTGTTATCCCAAGCATATAGGTTTTTGTCATCCTGGGACTTTATTAGCTATGTTATCTGTTTAACTACTTATGTCCTGGAATAACAACAAGGCAGATTATAAATGCCTTGTATTGAATCCTGAGAGATTTGTAGATGCCTAGAAAAACAGATAACTTGAAATTTCAGTGTACTCTTGAAATTTGTTCATTCTGTTTTGCTTTCAGAAGATTTTGTGTTGTTATCACTTTCCCATATCAGTAACTCATCAGCCTGGATTTTCTCCAGTGGGTGAAAAGCAGATAACTTTGTAAAATTCAAAAGAAAAATGCCCTTAGAATGCAGTGTCATTACATGGTGTGTCTCAGCAAGGGAGGAGTATCTCATAGCAATAAATACACCCAGTCTCTAAGTTTACTTTAAAATCAATTGAAATGTTTCGAAAATATTTACTTTACAGTGATCATCAACAAAATAACTTCTCTGATCCACAGAGTTCTAGTTCTTTTCTGTAGGAAAAACATACCACATGTGTGACTGGGTACTTTGGTTTGGGGATTTTGTCAGTGGAGAGTGTGGGGGGTAGCTGGAATGTACAGGCTTTCCTGACTGTCATGAATTTCTCTGCTAGGTTGTTATAATTCAGGGACCCTTTTTCCAATTCATTGCAAAACTGGTTTAAAAAAAAATGTTAGCCTTGTTCCCAGCCCACACCTAACAATTTTGAGGTCAATGCTGTTTTAAGGGTTTTAGACTGAGGGCCAGAACTGAGCCTATAATAAAAACTCTTTCTCAGTCTTAAATATAGAGTAGCTACTTGCTGCCCACCAGAATTTCAGGCTACTCAACCCTTCCCAATATCCACAACCCATCCTTTACGTTTTGCTTTCCTGCCTGCTGAAACTGGGGAATCAACTTACCCGCTTCTGCTGGGGAAACTTTTCCTTTCTTCACTTAGTTAGATCAGGAATCACATTTTTCTTCAGGATGGATGTACAGATCTTGAGAGTGCCTTCTTGTCCATCTCCATAGAGGAGTAACCCAAGGCTTCCCTTGGCTCTGAAGAAATAGTTTCAAGAAGTTTCTTGCAGCCTCCCTTATTAATGGGCCTGATGACTCCAAAATATCTCTATCTCTGTGCACATAGCTCAATTCCCAGTAACTATCTCATTAATTGTGACAGCTGAGATTTAGATGGAGCAGGGTTCAAACTTCTACATTTGTGGGGGTTTTTTTTTGCAAAAAAAAAAAAAAAGACAAGACAGACAGATGGGGCAATATTTCAATCTAGTGTGACAGTGGATCTGTGAAGCCTTGAAGACCCAAAACAGGGTACGTTTTTTGTGTTGCAGCATGATATTCCAGGAACATTTAGCAATCAGTGTGGTACTTACTCTAAAATGAAACTTTAAAATAAACTCTAACATAAAGCACTATAAATTGGGTTTCTACAAAGGCCTTCAGATATAAAGCATGCTACATATTGCTAGGACAGTTCTTGTAACATGATGCTGATCTGGTGTTTGGTAATGCACACAGGTCCTCCAGACACAGCTGGATACTTTACTTGAAGGACAAGAAAGCATTAAAAGTTGCAGCAACTTTACGGCCCAAGCCCTCAACCACGGCACTGAAACCGAAGTTCTGCTGGTGAAGAAGCAAATGAGCGACAAGCTGAATGAACTGGCTGAGCGGGACTTCCCGTTGCAGCCACGTGAAAATGATCAGTTGGACTTCATAGTGGAAACGGAAGGCCTGAAGAAGTCCATTCACAATCTGGGTACTATTTTAACCACCAATGCTGTTGCCTCTGAAACAGTTGCCACAGGTGAGGGACTGAGGCAGACAGTGATCGGACAGCCCATGTCCGTTACCATCACAACTAAGGACAAAGATGGGGAGCTCTGTAAATCTGGGAACGCTTACCTCACTGCTGAACTGAGCACACCTGATGGGAGTGTAGCGGATGGAGAAATACTTGACAATAAAAATGGCACTTACGAATTTCTGTATACTGTTCAGAAAGAAGGGGACTTCACTTTGTCACTGAGACTTTATGATCAACATATCAAGGGCAGCCCATTCAAACTTAAAGTGGTCAGATCAGCAGATGTGTCCCCTACCACTGAAGGGGTTAAGAGGCGTGTTAAATCTCCTGGCAGTGGTCACGTGAAGCAGAAAGCTGTGAAAAGACCTGCGAGCATGTACAGCACCGGCAAAAGAAAAGAGAATCCCATTGAAGATGATTTGATCTTCAGAGTAGGTAGGTGACTTGTCTGCTACCTATTGACATACTTAAAAATAGTTCAGGGAAACTGGATGAAAAAATCTAGACGTTAAATTATTTTAAGGTTAAAGCTGTAACTAGAGCAACCTGATAATACCTTTAGGCCTCTTGACTTCTGTTCATATGTAAATTTTAAAAGCACATACTTAATTGGAATTTGAGTTGAGAAATGCATGCATTTGATTTGGGATAAAATATTTTACCACCTCTTCTGTACTCTGTTGGGCATCATAAAATGAAAATATAATAACATCGATGCTTCAGATTAGATGAAATTACTTCTTTAAAAAGTTGCATGGCAAGAAGGGAAGTAAAAGGACTCCTTCTCTAAAACTATTGCCCTAAAGATTAATCTAATTAATTAACCTGGAACTATACATGCTAAATCCTGTGGCCATATATAATTATTTCGTTACGTCAGCATAAGACAAAATTACAATTTCCTTTATTTGCCTTTTTCCCCCAATATCTAAAGATGTTTGGTTCTTTATATAGTGTAATGTTATCTCTAAATCTGTGGAATGCTAATGCTTGGTAAAAATATAACATCTTGGTGTCATTTACTGTGATTTTCTTTCAGGTCTTTTGATGTACTCTTTTTAATAATAATTCATCATTTTAAAAGTCTGTGCCATGGGGTATTGTATTTATATAATATCTGCTTATATAGTTAGAAAATAATTCTCACTTTGCACAACTAAAGAAAAAAGCAAGTTAATTCTTAATAGGTACAAGTCAGGATTTCAGCAGTATGTGTTACCAAGTTTGACAACCAGTTGGTAAGATGGCTTTCCCCTTTGTAGCAGAGAATGGATGGTGGTTAATCCTGGAGGTTTTTTTAGTAATTCTATTGAAAATTGATCTGGACACCATTTGTCAGGTGGTTAACCCTGTCCATTTGATTTCTCATCTGTCAGTTTTTCAAACAGATTCCTTGCTTTGATAGGGAGTACATGCAATAACATAATGGTTTTACATCAGAAAATGTACTCAGCAAGCGTGCTTTGCTTGCTGAAAAGGACAGTACAACGTAAGCTTTGGATGAAGCCACTCATAAAATGACCAGCCTTTCCCAGATGGCCAATGCATTTTCTAGTAAGGTAAATGACCCCATAAATATTACAACTCAAAGCATTTTTTACAGAGGCAATGATATCCAGCTTTACTGTTGCTAAGGCTAAATTTTATGGTGTCTGCTGAGTCAAAAGTTAGAAATATGATGTAGAGCAACTTATACTGAAGTCGAGCCAGCCCTACTAGGCAGTAACCATGCTTATTGTCCAAAGCTGGTAGGCGACCTTTGTTAAATTAGCACCCAGACATGGCCCTTCCTCTAGCAGGAGGGTGTTCTTGTTGCAAAAGCTATTGCTGTAGTCACCACGGACAGAGTCCTTGATAGCAATCCCATGGGGAGAGAAGCCCTTGCACAGGGCAGAGAGATCAGCCTCAGGCTCCTGGTGGAATGGAAAGGGGCCTGTGGCTCTTCCCAAATGCAGTTTCACTGCTGGTACTGGTAAGAGTGGCAGAGGGTATGTATAAATGTAGCCTAGATCTTTTTTGGGCCCTGTTTTGAGGCAGGGTTAAACAAAACAGTTAAGAATAATGTCTGAACCCTGTCTAGAAAGAAAACATCTCTCTAATCTCTTCTGGAACAGTTGTGACATGTTGTGTGCTAGACAGAGAAGGGGCTGGATGGACAGATTCAGGCAGAAAGAGTCTGTGGGTCTGCAGCAGGTAGGAGCAGGATAGGAAAGCCTGCACAGGTACACTGTGCCTGGGAGTAACAGGGGAGCTCTGTTACCCATTGTGGCTGACACCTTCACTGAATGCTAAGGCCTCTTGTTCACATATATCAAGCATTAATTTGTACTGGTGTGGAAATCATAGATCTAAATACTTAAAAAAAAAAAAAAGACATGTCCTGAAATTATTTAAAAACTGTTAATATTCTTATTACAAAGCTTTTGGTATGGATTAAAGTGATTTCAGGTTGTAATTTCTGCTTCTGTATCCCTTGCTTCTAGTGAGCAGTTTCTAGCCTGACTACCAAATAGCAGTATGGCTCTGGTTTTTTAACTATTCTCTCCAACACACCATAAACTCTAAAAGTCTTAAATGTTTTCCAAAAAGTGCAGTGCCCTTTCTTTCTGTTGTGATGCAATCATGACCATGTGCTTTATTTTGGAGTTCTGCCTCCTCCCCTTCTTCACCACTCTACCCCCCCAAAAAAAGAAGAGAAAATAATTAGAACAAGAGCTACGCATGTTTCAGAGCTTTTGCTTGATGAAACCTCTCAGGAGTGCCCACATTTGGGATATATGGATCACTATTTTATTGAAAAACTGAGCTGAGTAATACTTCATCTTATTACATGTTCAGTTCTCAGCCACTCATTTCACAGAATGACCCTGCAAAGAGATGACCCTCTGGGCTTCTGTGGGCTTATATATGCATCATCTGAAAGGTCTCTTAATGATGCAGCTGTAATGCTCTAGCTTTTTACACTCTTCTAAAATACGCAAAATTAATGAAGACTGGTAAAACTTCTGACATTTTCACAGGGATTGCCGTAATGGATTTAAGAGTTCGTGTAGTTCCAGTTTCAGCTCACTTTGAAAAGTTAAGGTTTGGTTCATTTGTTGATAAGGTAATGTAAAATAAAGTTTATCACTGTTTTGCAACACAACTGTGTATCTCTATTTTGAACCCATTGTTGAATTCCTCTGATAGCCCTGGCCAAATCCAGATTTGTATTTTAAACTGGGCAAGATAAATCTTATATTTGGGCTGCCAGAAGCTCATACAGCTGTGTTGGAGAACCATACCATAATATTCCTATGGGCATCCAAGTATTCAGAGTATGCTATTATATATATGCTGATATATGGGCTTTTATGCACAAGTAAATTGATCAGCTCCTAGCAGGAGATTGTTCTTGTGCTAGTATTAACAGAGATAGCATTAATACAACATTAGTACAGTTAAGTGCTTTCATTCATGGGGAATTGTGCGTTGTATCTTTTGCCAATTCCATGTTATTCATGGCTTTTAAAATGGCACGTGGTTCTATTCAGACATTTTAAGGTCAAGCTATTGACTGCACATTCATACATTCGTGTAATTCATTATTTACAAGAACAGAGTATTTCGTGCTTCCTCCTCTTCTCTCTCAATAATTTAGATCGTCAACCTCTTTTTTTTATTTTTTTTAAACAAGTGTGATCTCCAAGAGTGTGTCCATGCAGTATCTGTGTAGCTATCTATGTATCTATGTACTTAGTTTATACAAAGGCAAACAAGAATGTGCTTATGATACCCAGAAAATAGTTGTTGCACAATGGTCTTTGCTACCTCTACAAGTGGTAGGAAGCACTGAAGTGAGAGGGAAGGCTCTTTTCCGTTACCTTGCTTTTGTGCCTTAGACCCATGCTGAGCAGAGGTAAACGGAGGGAGGGATGTTCACAGTGTCAGCCACTTCCACCTTCCCTGGTAAATCTCTCCCACGTCCTCCAAAGGAGGGCTAAGAGCCACGGGTGGCATCAGTTAGCTACTCTGTCCAGGACACCGTCTTGTGCTCTAGCTCTGCCATGCTGTGCCGTATGCCTTGGTATTTTTTCTCTTCTGGCACTTTTCATCACTGAGTTCTTTGACACTGTTTAGCAGTAATGGTGCTATTTCCCACTTTAACTGCTTCTTCTCTTCATTTATTTATACTTGGGATTGGCATTAGATACAGCCAGATGGAGAGTTGGCTCTCTGCTAGAAGGCTCAATTTTCCTTTTCCTCAGACTGTGTTTAGTTGTCTGTTCAGTCATGTAACTGAGCATCTAAGTTTAGCTGGTACATTTAATGTGTGTAATTCACTCTAATTAAAAAAAAAAAAAAGAGGTGCCTTTAACAGTACCTTCTGTCAGCCTTCTTACCAGGTGCAGATGTCATCTTCTGGTCTGTTATCAATGCTGAAAGCAAACAGGAGCCTTATTGTGAATCTACTCCACATGAACAATGCCTGCGTAATAATAGCTTTAGTGCAGTTTAAAAGGAGGCTTAGGAGGAGCAAAGGGATTCTTGATCAGGTGTTTCTTCTTTAATTTTCTCTGAAGGCCTTTGCCTGAAACTCTGTATTGGATTGTCCTGTTTGAAAGGAACAGGGCTGCCTGTAGCTATATACTTTTTGAGCTCTTACAAAAATACAAGTGGGTTATATGGGTACACATCTTCTTGAAAAACCGTGTATTTTTCCAACTGCAGTTAGCCCCCTTGTATGGATGGTCCAGAGGAACTTTCTCCCCTATAGCAAGCAGCACCTGCTTCCTCCCATTCCCCTGTCCCTTCTCTATCTTTCCAGCAAGGTCCTGTCCTGGACAAATTACAGCCTGGCTAAGGACATTGGAAAAGGAAGGGGTGTGTATGTGTAGTTGTTCCCTGTAGTGCAGAAGTATGATACATGAAATGCAGAGGCCCCGCTGACCCACTTTAATCAGTTGTTCTTCATTTTCTATTTCAGAACATTAATAAGTAGTATGAAATAGCGAGAGGTTTTCCATTCAGAATTTATATTTCTGTAGAAATAGGAAAGCCTAGTAATGGGGAAATAGAATTTCATTTTCCAGTTTATTAGCTCAAATCCCTCCGAGGCTTGTCATGAACTCTTTATGGGTTTGTGATGGCCAGTGTGAAATTTGGCCAGGCCTACATTGGCATAGTTTTGCAGTCAAACCTGTATTGGGCGGGGGCTGAAGAAGTCTGACATCACATTGCTGGCAAAATCCCCAGCGTGGGTCTGATGTCCTGACGACAGAGACCTGGTCTGGGTTCGACTCATGTTGTTCGGGGTTTTGCTGCTGTACCAGCGAGAACTGCTTCTGAGGTGCACCTACCCCTAGGATTTGTGCATACCTAGCTGTGGTGGCAGGGGCTCTGCTGCACAAGCAAGGCTTGGAGGTGGTCTTGGCCAAGCTGTTAGGGACAGATGCTGTGTAAAGCAAATTAATACAAATCAGCCCAAACTTCACTACCAACAGTGTATGGGAGTATCTGCCAGAATTCCTCTTTAAAGGTTACAAACATTGTGTGCCTTCATCCAACAGACTGACTGATTTTAAAACTTAGATTTGCATGGGAACTTGGATTAGAATCACTGACATTTATTTTACAATGAGCACGTAGCTTGTTAACAATCTGATTCGGTGCAGCTTTACCACAGAGCCTTTTGTGTTTCAGCTGTATCTATTATGGGAGAGGGCATCACATCCTAATAACGTGTAAGGTCTGACTAAGGAAAAAAGAAGCAAGGCTAGGGAAAAAGAAAACAACTCCTTGATGTCTGTGCAGTATGCAGTATGTATGTAGACCTTTCCATGCTTACTTTTATCCTTTTTTTCAGTGCCACATAGAGAACAGTCCAAGAAGAAGTATTTGAAGCGTTGCAGGCAGGAAAGAAATGGTGCTTACACAATATGTTATGGCTACTTGCAACCTCTAAAGTCTCCCCATTAATCTGCAATCTTTCTGCAGGGTTTTTGTCTCTCCGAATCCATTCCCTTCCTGCTGGGGGCAGTGACATGGCTTTTCTTTCTGTTTTAGGGAGCTGGTAAATCTAGGTTAGCAAGCAGGGAGGTTATTATTCATATTAGTAAAACTTAGAAAGCAAAAAATGCTCTATCTATTACTATGAGCATCAAAAATGTACATTGTACAACAGGTTTGTCCAGATGCTCAGCACTTACAGAGCAGATTCTTACTGCAGTTATATGATGTAATTTTTAACATCTCCTGTGATGTTAATGGGCTTTTAGATTTTTTTTTTCCTTCTTTTCGGTGAGATTCAATCTGGCCTGTATTGTGCAATAATAAAAGATTGAAATTATGAAGCATTTTACGTTAGACTGTCTTGAGCTGAAAATGGATGCTCTTTTGTTGAAAGCATATCTTCAAAGCTAAATTAATTGGTTTGTGCAGGCTATGCTCAGTAAACCAGAAGGAATTAGATAGGGCTAAGGCAAGTCTGATTGTTTATTTGGAGAACTGTATACAAAGATGGTATAAAAGGAGCTATTCCACAGGCCACAGATCTGCTTCCTAATAACTCTCTTCAGCCTGCTCTTTTGAAAACTCTGCTGTCCTCTCCCAATCCCAAGCAGCTTGCCACAGAAGTTGCAGTAAAATGGCTTTTCCTCCTTTGTGCCTTGCAGTGGCTCAGAACAGGAGGGAGGTAAGGCTGGGCAAAGACAGGATGCAGCCTTTTATCTCCAAACCAGGCTGCTTGGGAAACACTGGCATGAGGATCCCACAACTGTTCCCTAGCCCCAGCCCTGTGCGTTTGAAATGTTGGTGTCTCCCTAGGCTGAGGAGTGATGGGTGACTGCACATGACTGAGAGAAGAGAAGACAAAGCATGGGGTGTTTTGATAGAGAGGGGTGGTTTCTTGCAGTGAAAGATTTGCTGAAGACTCTCTCTCAGGCAGGTATGTTTATAAAGCAGGAATCTCTGCTTACAGGAAGGAGCTGTCATCCTTTGGTATTACAGTCAGCTGCAGGAGCCTGCTTTTCCAGAGGCTGACTACTTTAATTCAAGCTTTCCTCTCATCATCTGAACTGCTGCCACTGCCTGTGCTTGGATTCAGATCTTTGCTGGCATAGTGAATTATTCAAATCAGAAAGTTCAAAGTTATCTATTTTCCTCTTGAACATAAGTTATGAAATAAGCTGTGTTTCACTAACCTCAGCTTTCTTCTTCAGAGAAATTTGTGCCACTGCAGAAGGGACCGTATAAAGGCCTGTGTGCAAATTAGGACCTATGTGATGGGTTTAATAGCTGCAAAGTGCTATGTACAAGGACATTGCATGGAGCTGAATTTCATCTGCACGCTGTGCTAATAAATTACTATTTCTTAAACTTACTGTGAAATGTGACTATAGCATTCACGGGTAATTTCTTCTATTTTTCCTTTGATGTATGTTTACAAGGTCCCACTGAAGAACACTCTGAGTAACTCTTTATATAGGTCTCTCTTATCTTTAAAAATGAAATTCCTTGACTTTCAAGGATATTTTTCTAAGGGTAAAGAGCATACATTCCATAATGTGTGTGCTAGTTGGTTCCAGATGCTCTAGCTTATGCCTCCTCTTTTCTAACAAATGTTTTCCCTTTACTCTCAGTAGTAAAAGGAATGTTTCTCCCTTTTCATCCATTGTCTTTGGCTAAAAGGCAAAAAGGAAACTTATCATTAGCATATGGTGGAAAAAAATTACTGTGTGCATCCCTCAGGCACTGCTCATTAAAAGAATACACAGAAATGGCTCAAGTGTGGGTAATGTAATTGGTATATAACTCACTATTCCCTGAATATGTACTTTCCCTTTGCAGTACAAAAATTGAGAAGTATTTGCCTTGTTCAGAGGATGTAAACATACAGAGTTCAAGAAAACAAACCGTTCGCAGCACGAAGTGCAGAGGAATTAAATGTTACTTGTTAGCCAGTGACAGGAAATAGGCAACCCAGAGTCATCACTACAGCAGAAAGAAGGGTTGTTAAGAGCATACACATCCCTAATGAAAGCTAAATACAAATTAGAGCTAATATGTATGTCTTCTATTGGGCATCACAGTCAGAACAGTTTTAATCACTGAGCTCCAGGATATTTTGGGCTCACTAAAATGAAATACAAGTTTTTCAGTTAAAACCGTATATTGAAACCAGTTAATGTCTGATACGCAGCCAGTGAATGCTTGTAAAAATACTTCACCGGGAAAAATAGTGCTGCATCCAAGTCTTGGAAAGAACAGCTTATAGAGTCTTTTTGTTTCAAAATTCATTCATTCATTATGAATAACCTTGGGGCCCAGGATCATAATTGCAGTCTTGTCTAAAGACCCCTGAGCGTCCTTTACAAACAAAGCAGGGATTTGGATACTGTTCTTGTGCTCCAGGTGTAATTTGGACCAGCCACTTTAGGGCTGACCTTTTAAAGACATCAGTTTGCTGTGTGACTCTCCTCAGAACGTCTCAGAACAAACATCTACGTAATGAGGCATTTAACTTAATGAACTTTTGTGAAAATTTGACATTTTACAGCTCCTTATCCCCTTAAGCCACTGGCGAAAAGACTTACAGTTCTATGTAAATCACTATTGCATTTGTCCTGGGTAAAAATGGGACCTCTGTGTGTATATACTGCTTTATTAGAACAATCTAAGGTCTTTGCAGAAGCATTCAGTCTCCAGGTGGTGGTCTTCCTTGGCCCACATGTCCCAATCACTCAAAACCAGTTCTTCATCTGAGTTTCCTTTCTAAGGGAATTTTTAAAGCCTATGTCTGAAAACTGTGTATGAGTGAATAGGAAACTTCCCTGGCTTGAAATGGCCCCATCCAAAGTGATCACCGGTATGTTTTATCTCAACTTTGTGACTTCACTGAGGAGATTTAGCTAATTGTACTAAAATTTTGTCATCTGTCCAGGTTCTTATCTTAGCCTCTGTCTGTATGTTCCCATAGTACCGCCCCTTTCATTGCCTTCTCAGTTGAATAAAAATCTGCAATTTAAAAAAAGTCCATCACTTACGAGAAAACATTTTACTAGTTCCCTCACGCAAGAGGCAAATTTGTGAAGGCCAAAGAGGTAATTACGTTGATGGGGGCTTAGATGGCATACATGCCAAAGACTAAGAACAATCCCTTCTTGTACTTAGAATTGTGGATCTGTTACTGAGGTGGTTCTTTGAAGTTGTAGCAGTGATAAGAACTCTTCAAAATAGAAATCTATAGATCAAGGATGTAATAAATGCATGGGTTGGCATTTAGGTCCTAACTGATTAGTCCTGTCTAACCTGATTTCTTATGTGCTTTGTGTTCAATTTTAGGCACCAAAGGAAGAAACAAAGGGGAATTTACAAATCTTCAAGGAGTAGCTGCATCTACAAATGGAAAAATATTAATAGCAGACAGTAACAACCAGTGTGTGCAGGTATGAGGATATGCCACTTCCAGTATTCTTCTTTTTCTCCCCACCCCCACACCTCTACCTTCTTTGTACTCCAGGAAAGACACATTTTGTACAATTCAAGCAGATATAGAAAATACAGAGGAAGCTCAACTTGTTTATCATCCATTATCATTCCATCTTCTTGACCTGCAGCTATCTTTTTCAGATCTACACTATATCTGGTATGTATATCAGAGTTTATTTCCCTTCCTTATGATGTTTGGCAATGAATGAAGAAAACAAGCGGTGCAATAATCCGGAAAAACACCTTTTTGTAAACATCATTTGCATTGTAAATTTATCACTCTGTGTTTCCAAATATAAATCTAGGGCAAGGTGCCACAAATGTAAGTTCTTAAGCAAATACAAATACAAAAAAAACCATGTAGATGTCATTTTCAAATGGCTTTTAGTCTGCTTAATTGACTTTTCTGTCTGATACCATGATCAAATCTTTTCTGTGGTAGCACCCCTGACACCCATGATTTCTTGGCTTCTGTAACCTGTGTGAAAATCAAGCTGTGTTTTTTCTTTTGCTTGCCGTGTATCTTTTTTACCATTAATAATTTGTTAACACTCTTCAGGCTGCCCGTGTGGTAGCAATGAACAAGGCAGCAGTGTGTGGCTTGTTCTTCAGTATGTGAGAACCAGCAAAGCCACATGCAGTAATAACTTCTTTCCAGGCCTTTTCAAGGAGACAGAGTCAAATATTCATCAGCACCCTCACACTTTGTAATTTGCACCACTTCAGAGGAACTTCAGTGTCTAATTACCTGGCTTGGGGACACAACCAGTGGACTGAATTTTGCATGGCTAAAGCATCTCTCAGGAGATGGCCTAGTACTTATCCCTAAGTCAAATAAATTTTGAAATTTTCTTTTAGCTTCTATTCCTATCTTTTCTACAGACTTAGTGTTTGACTGTGGCCGAGTCACTCAGTGCCTCAGTTTCCTCATTTCTAATATAGGAGTAATACCACTTCCTTCCAGCTGAGAGGGACATTGTGAAGCTTAGTGCACTAATGTTTGTAAAGTACTTTGACATCACTGAAGAAACAGTGCAATGTAAGTGCAGAGAACTACTTTATTTTGAAATTAGGGTCCAGGTGGAAGCCTCTTCTTAAATTAGGCATATCACTTTCAAATATGGACCATGTAAAAGTACTTCATGTTCCTAACTCTCTTCCTGACTATAGTGTTCATTAGTGACTTGCTAAAATCTAAGCTCCAAGAAATAGATGATGTTATTATGCAGACTTAATTTTAAAATGCATGTTTTCTGTTACAGATATTTTCCAATGATGGTCAGTTCAAAAGCCGTTTTGGCATACGAGGAAGGTCTCCTGGCCAGTTGCAGCGGCCAACAGGAGTGGCTGTGCATCCCAGTGGTGACATCATTATTGCAGATTATGATAACAAATGGGTTAGCATATTCTCATCAGATGGAAAATTTAAGGTACGAGTTATCATGTGAACTCTCCTGAGCTTTCTCCGTCTTACAAAGGAATGCAAAGTAATGGGGTTTTTTTGTCAAGAAACTACATAGTTTGCTTGTAACTTAGTCCAAATTCCATTGTTGTGATGTGGAAACCCATGACACAGCCATGTTATATAATTAATAGGAAGAAGTCACAGCTGTGATGCTAATGTTATACCAAATAGAGACGGTATGTTCCATTTTACAGTTCTACGTACTAGGTGCTTGGATGCCTTTCTGTAACTTACAGTCAGGGATAGCTAATGTAATCAAGTCTAGCTGGACGAGCTCAACAACATTCATATCATTAGTATTCTGATTACACAGAAATGTGTGTGCATATATGTATACACACAGACACACATAAAAACTTATGAGGAGGACATGAGGCTCTTCAGTGACATATGGAGGAGAAAAATAAGGTAGCAGACTGATGAGGACTTCCTCTATTTACTCCATACGTATCAGCGAAACAAGTGTATAATTCATGTATGATCCTGTTGGTAATAAATGCAAGGAAGGGCAACCTAGGATGTTGTTCCAGTGCTACAGCATAGACAGGAGTGTTTTAGGTGGGGTGATGTGCACTGGAAAAACTGAAAGGCAATAATAATGTCTTAGGTTTCAGAAATCAGAAGTTCTGAGAAAAGCGTACCTCATTTTCATAGCAACTCTGATCCCTTTAATAGGAGTAAAATAAGAAGGCAGCTACTACACTACACTCATGCTTGCCAACCTGCAATATTCATTTTGCTTGGGTTCAGGTGCAATTCCAGAGAGAATTAAAGGTTGCCTCCATTTGGTAATGTTCTCTGAATGCTTGTTACTGAGTCTGGCGATGCATGCTAGAAATAGCCACCTATAGCAGAGGTTAGCAGTACACACTGTTCAGTGAGATAAAGAACCTGCAGGGAAATTTCTACCATAGTTACGTAGTTCTAGAGTCCTGCATTGGAGAGAAATTGCCTGTTTGGCTAATGTTGTGGTTTAACCTGGCAGGCAGCCAAATACCACGCAGCCGCTCACTCACTCCACCCCTCCATTGGGACGGGGAGAGAATCGGAAGGGTAAGAGTGAGAAAAACTCGTGAGTTGAGATAAAGACAGTTTAATAGAACAGAAAAGGGAGAATAATAATGATAATAATAAAATATACAAAATAAGTGATGCACAATGCAATTGCTCACCACCCGCGCTGACCGATAACCAGGTAGCGATCAGTACTTCCTGGATCATGCCTACCCTTCATATACTGAGCATGACGTCACATGGTATGGAATACCCCATTAGCCAGCTGAGCTGGCTGTCTTGATTATGTTCCCTCCCATCTTGTGTACCTAGCTCAGTCAGTAGGCATGGGAGCTGTCCTTGGACTAGGAGGGTACTTAGCAACAACTGAAAACATCAGTGTGTTATCAACATTCTCCTCATACTAAATCCAAAACACAGCACTAGCAAGAAATTTAACCCTATCCCAGCCGAAACCAGGACACTAATTTTCTGGCAGCCTAATGACCAAAAAGCTCAGGTCCTGAGCTGCTCACGTGTACCAAAAAATGGCCTTCCTTTGAGTAGTCTTTGCAAAGTGATGAATGCGATAGCAAACAAGCAATTGTGCTTGCGTAGTTCTCAGTGACCTCCATCTGGGAAACAGACATGTATGCTTTTAAAAGTATCCAGATCCTGTGTAGACTTGAAGTAAAACAATACTAAAGTAAAAACAATACTAAAGTAAACTAAAAGTAAAGTAAAACAAAACTAAAGTAAAACAATACTAATATGCAATGCAAGTGTTAAAAAAATATAAATTACTCGCATTTGCAGAGTATGTGATTTTCCTTGTCAAGTAGTTTTGAAAATGTACAGCTACACAGGAAAACCTTGGTTTTGGCCAAAGTCCTTGAATGAAATGAAGGCACCAAAACAAAACCAAAGAAAGATGTAATTTAGTTAAGAATCCAAATACTCTGAGTAACCTAAGTGTGTTGTAAATAATTATTAACATCTTTAATGTGAACTGGCTTGATCTGGACACAGAGCATGGAGGGCTCGTTTTCCTTCCTTCTCAAGACATGCTGTAAATCCAGCATTTTGGATGGTGCCAGCTCTGGAGGAAAAAGCCATCGCTCTGGAGCAGCCAGGACCCTATGTGCTATACACTACCAGCAGGGAGACAGGTATTGAAAAAAATGAATTATTAAGGTAGTTCCTCTGACGTGGAGCCTAGCTTTGTTTTTATTGGATTGCAAGAGCTGTGTAAAGTTGGCAATGTTTGTGTGGTTAATAGAAGTTAATGCATCGGACTTTATAGTTCTTGGGAGTAGACTGATTAAATGAGAGATGAAACATCAATGATATAAAATACTATTTTTAGATTGAATGCAACAGGCTATATTTATGAGAGAAAAATATACAAATGTTTGTAGAAGCATTTTATGTATGGAGGGCAGGCATAATCATATAGTTGAAGCACAGGACATGGATATAACAGATCTAGCCTGTGGGAATCTGGGCAAAGCCTTGTAATTCCTTGTGTGTTGGCAATGGTAGTTCTTACAGGCGCTTTGTCAGATTAAAATGGGCAACGCTTGCCAAGGTACACAGAGAGATAAAGGGGTAATGGTGTTTCCCTTCAAAAGACTGTGCATGCAAGTCATTGTATATAATCTCTGATGCAGGTGGTCTGCTAGTTGTTAACCCAGCATTATCAGGGGGCTGTTTCAAACTTATTCTAACTATTTTTATTGTTGTCCCCTTCTTTCTGTATTTACTTACACTTACTCTCCCTTAGCAGCATTTTAATAGTCATGTGAGCCAGAAGGCAAATTTCCCCTGGAGCCAGGCCCAGGCATCTCCCTGATTGCAGCACTGGGCTGACTCACCCCAGCAACCTCCACTGCCAGGCAGAAAAGTGTCACCTTCCTCAGTCGCTGGTAGCAACAGACACAGAGCTCCGTTTTCTCAAGGCTGTAAAACTTGCATAATGCAGAGGTGAACAAACCCTAATCTAAGGTTACACCAAAACACGAGTCTCTTAAAATGAAAGGCTGTATTATCCTGCGAACGATAAAGCCTCAGATAGGGTCTTAGGAACTGGGGCTTCTGTTTCTGGCTATGCCACAGGTCTCGCAGGTGACTAGTAATCTTCCATTTCACTTCCCAGTGCTTTATTTTCCTCATCTATAAAAGGCAGATAACAGTGCGGGCTTGCTCTGTAAATTACTCTGAAATTGCTTCAGAAAACTGTTAGAGAAGACATTGCTAGGCTAAGGAGAGAACGCATGCTGAAGCAGCAGGCTCAGCTTCTGCACCAGTGGTGGTGTTCAAACCTAGTGAAGGAACTGGAGAACAGGGCCCAGAGAACAATTCTCAGTCCTCTGAGGAGAGAATTACTTTCTTTCTAGTCTTGAAGGGATGTATCTAAGATAGCTTGTTATCAGCCAAATAGGGCTGCAAGTCAAGATCAGGTTTAGATGAGTGGGAAAAGATGAAAGGAAACATTTTATCTGTCAGACTTTTATTTTTTCTTGTCTCATTAGAAAAATTAAGAAGAGAGCTGCTTGAAGCTGGTTGCATGTTCAGACAGGAATAGTTCTGTGGAGTCTGGTTAAGTGGTCACAGTTGAATTAAGACAGTCACATGAATGATAAATCCATTTATTGTGCGACACTGCAATGTGTGACAAAGCTGTATCTCCATATTAGGGAAGTTCTCAAACAGGAAAAGAAGGTCTATTGAAAGTCTGTAAATTAATTCCTGACAATTGCGAACCTTTCAGACAGCAACAAGATTGGTGGAGTTAAACTTAAAGCCCTAACACACCTACTTCTACAGTGGAAAAGTCTTTGTAAATTTTTATATAGGCTAACTGATTTTTTTACCTCTAGGAATATCCCACAGTAGAATATTTCCCACCCTTTATAAAGGGTGACTTTATAAACACATATTTGAAAACCAGTCTAAATAAGAGCCTATAAAATAAGGGACATAATGTCCTTGACTGAATTTAATTAAACACATTACTTGTATTAAGGTTCAGATGATTCATTACACTTTATTCATTTCTAATGGCAGAAAAGTCTGAAAATACTTCCATTCATACACTTAACAGGAGTGACTGTTGGGTTTCATAATGTTCTGTTCTAAATAATCAAACCTATAATTCTAAGAAACCTTCTGAAATAAAAATATACAAAGCATATGTTCAGCATATGTACTGGTCTGACCCAGTAATGTGTCATCAGCATATTTTGATCTAAACTGGAAACAGAGATTTTTAGTAAAAAGCACTGCGAACTCTAGCTGGGCATAATTTCTTGCTGCCTGCGAATTATATTTTAAATCCTGGCCCAAGAATAGTGATTTTTATTACTCTTCTCACCACTGAGTACCCATTAATGTAGTACGTGATGTATTCATGATCTTTTTTCATATGTATTTATATGGGCAGGAAGACACCGTACTCATGAGTCTGAGTCATTTTTCCATAGGAATCCTGGAAAGATGGTAAGGAGGTGGTGCAATGCACAAGCAGACAAACACATGGGGATCCCAGAGGAAAGAAGGGAATATGATTTAATCGCCCCACAGGAAATAAATCTACTGATTTGCATTTGGTTTATGTTTTTGCTGCTTTGTTGTTATGCAAACCTGAATACATTTTGTAGGTCTCCTCATATCTTTCCCCTGGTGTACACAAAGTAATTTTTAATAGTTTTTCCTGGGGATATTTTTGCATGATTTAATTATGTGTTTTTTACCTAAATATTTAGCAATTTATAAAACCATATGTACCTGAACATAAAACAGACACATGATCATTGCATGTTGGCTAAGCATAGTCTTGAAGCTGCAAGATTTACTCCCTGGAGTTTTCTTTATTTGTCACTGAAAGAGGTTGCGTAGTGGCGACTTTGTACCAGACAGCCTCAGGGAACCTAGATGGCATTATTTTGGGATGGCTCCTATTTTTACCTGCAACCTCACCCATGTGAATGTACGGTGGAACAGGAGCATGGGGCTTACTAAGGGTAGTTGAGCTCCTTCAGATACTAACATGGTTGTTTGCTTTGAAAACATTAGGGAATTGAGGGAAATGAGTTAGGTAATGGATCTTCTCCATGCCTTGTAATCTGTCCCACCTTGATAATTAGTCACAGACTAACAGAGCTTCAGCTACTCCTCACCACTTGCAAGAGGGAGGGGAGGGGGGCAGAGAAGTCAGAAGCATTGCTTGTTCTAGGTGGTGATCTGTCCCACCCTGCTAAGGCAGTGAAGTGAAAACATGGTCTTGTTTCATAAAGATGATTAATATCTTAGTATTGATTTCATTTAAATTCTTATGGAAACAGGAAATTATGTTCTCCACCAAAGAGATGGACCTCAGTTTGTAGGATGTCTCTCTCGCAAATTACTACAGGATCTGAAAGTTCTGGGATCCATAATTTCCACACAGCCTGTTCAGTGGATTGCCTGTCCAGCACAGTAAAGAGGCTGGCAGGAGACCAGATTTTTGGAAACAACCTGGATAACTGCTTCCAAATCTGTCCATCATTTAAAAAAAAAAACAAACAACAAACAACAACAAAACAGAAAGCACGTTGCTGCATTCCAACAACAACCCCCCCAAAAAATTAGGTGGTATTTTTATAGCCTTTTTTTAACTGAAAGGTCAAAGCTCAACTGATTTTATGTAGATTAAACCAGTTTCTAGAATCTCTGCCTGAAAAAACAGCAGAATGGTGAAAAATGTGAAATGGGTTGCAAGGTGATCCTAGTATCTTCTTGGGTATATGCCCAGGTAGCTCATTTCTGCTTGCTCTGGGCTGGATGGGATGCTGTTGCTTAGATCCCTTCTTAGATCCCCTTCTTTTTGATCCTACTAAACAGTGCTTCTAATGTTTTCTGATCTATTTTGACAGCTCTCTAGTCTTTCCAAATAACTCACTGTGTATGAGATCCACCTCATCTCCACTGAAGGTTTCTCCATTGATACAATATGGAATATTGTATACAGTTCCCCTGCTGTTGCTGATTATGCTGGCAGATGTTCTTCATAGTCACAAGGCCTGTTTAAAATGACGGAAATAATTTTATTTATCTAAGACAGGAGCAAGCTTTGATTTGTTTAGTGTTTCAAAGATTACTTTATTTGCTGTTTGGCAGCACGATCCTATCTCCTTCGCGGGTTTCAGCTGACACTTCATGTGTCTAAGCAGCAAGTGACGCAATCTCACGTGGATCTGTGGAAGATATAGAGGTTAGCCTGAGCTTTAGGTCTGCTCAAATTCTTTCCAAGAGCACTCAGAAGCTGCACGGTGTCTCACTCACCCAAGAAAAGCAACAGAGGACAGCATAGCCTACATCCCACCCAGCTCTGATGCTCCAAGAGTGAGCTCTGACTGCTTTGATGTAGCAGGCAGTGGTAAAGGCATGTTTCCCTGTCCATAACGAGGTGGTTATGGATTCAGGAATAGCATGCAAAAGCATCCAAATGCTGGACTCAGGAATAGCATGCAATAGGAGGCAGAAGTCCTTTATGCGTGTCTGTCTATCCTACTGGTACACTAGTGCTGGCTATACAGCCATTTGTGATGGTTTCTGACAGATGCTGTAGTTTATCAAGACATACAAATCTGATGATTGTGTTTCTCATGAGTTGTATTTTTGAACTCCATTGCTGAGGTGGCAGATCTTCCACTCCAGAAAGGACAGACAGAAAGCAGTCTTTATTTTCAGCTGAAGAAAAAATTATGAAGTACACAATAAGAGCTGGTAAAAACAATCACTTCCCTCTAGGAAACTTTTGATGACAAAAAAGTCTCTCCGTCCTGCTGTGTGCCTGTAATACAATCTTTGAACGGTACTAACTTATTTCCATCATGCCAACATATTTTTCTGTTTTGTGTTTTCCCTTTTAGGCCAAAATTGGGTCTGGAAAGCTCATGGGCCCTAAAGGTGTTTCTGTGGATCGTAATGGACATATAATTGTAGTGGACAATAAAGCATGCTGTGTTTTCATCTTCCAGCCAAATGGGAAAATAGTCACCAGGTTCGGTAGTCGAGGAAATGGTGACAAGCAGTTTGCAGGTACACTTGATGGTAATATGTAAATCCCCTTTTCTTGCCTCTTCTGCTCACATTTGCTTGATGTTTGAGCATGTTGAAGACGCTGTATCCTACTCTTTTTTCCTGGGGTGGAAAGGTTCTACTAAACATACAGCTCCTGTTCACTTCACCATTTGTTTAATTGGTCAGGAAGACTGCAACATCTGCTCTGCAAATGTAGCTGTAACCAGATTGTTTTATCTACCTCTCTGTGCCTGGAAGCATTTCAGATCAGTGACCCAAGAGAGACTGATCTTAACTAGCATTTTATAAATGCTTTGTAATGCCCACACTCAGCTGTTCATGATAGTCAACTCAAACACCATGCATTGTGTTTCCAATGATCAGATACACATTAACCAAGGCCCTAAGTGGTATCTTCCCATTAGAAAATGAGTGTAATGGGATAGTGTTAAGATTGAGATCAGGAAGACACAGTTATGCAAACAGAAAATGCCAGTTTGGGGAAATTGCCACTTACATTCAACTGACTGCTTGCACATGGTGTCTTTCAATTAGAACATGCAATTAAGTTAAAAAAAAAAAACAAAACTGGTATATTTTGAGTGAATTGTTCTTTCAAAATTTGAAACGAAGATACCAAATTACATAGGCAGGTCATTTTGCAGGTGTTGGGTCACTGAATAAGTAGTTATAGATTGGTCTGATGTCCTGACTCGTTCACAGCACAAGAGAGAAATGGTGTAACTGCTTTTATCTTACTTGAGTTCTCTTGCAATGTCTTATGGCACAAGTGCCATATATATAATTTATAAGAGCTTTGGCTCTAACACAGCTAAGCGTCACCAAAATTTTCTGGTTTTGTCCAATTTCTTTCGTTTTAAAATTTGTAAGAATACCTCCTGAAAATAAGTGTGCAAATACTCTGTAACAGTGCATTTGAGAAATGTATTGCCTCTTCTCAGTGGTAGGCTACATAAAACAGGTGAATTGTCATTCCTTGAATGTTTTCAGTGTAAAGGTTTTCACCCTTTTTATAGTTTACACTGGTGAACTGTGAAAATTGAAACTGAGTTCTGATCTGTTTAATAACTCAAAATAGCACCAAGTATTTTGATTCAGGTACTTGCCCGTTTTTGGTTTTTATTCAAGTTTGCGCACATAGTTCAATACACAAAGTAAAGCAAAAAATGCATGTTTTTCCCTGACAGTGTTCTTCTAAGTAATTTTTGTATTTATCCTAAAACTTTTTTGCTCAAATGCTTGTAAGAAGTGAGCACACAAAGCATGGAAGATTTCAATTAAGACTTTACATAAACATTTTTGAGAACTATTTTCAGTGTATACACAACTTTATGCCTAAGCACTACATGTTTTGTCTTGTTAATAAGCACATAAATATCTACATAGTCATCTGTATATGAGAGATGAAGGAATGAACAATGCTTATTGATAACACTAGCTGACAACTGGTTGAAAAAGAAATTCTTTGTGTTTACAAAAAGGCATGCTGAGCTTTTTAAAACACGAAATGAAATTACTCTTAATTTGAAATTGGTATTCCAAGTTGGACTATTATTGCTCAGAAGCCAAATATAATATTCTGGCAGGCTGAATAATTTTTTTGATGTAAGCAAACTTTTTTATTTAGTGTTATTATTTTTTTTTTCTTCCTCTGCATTGCAGGTCCTCATTTTGCAGCTGTAAACAGCAACAATGAAATTATCGTTACAGATTTTCATAACCATTCTGTCAAGGTACTGTCAATTAATGGCAACTTGGAAAGCTTTTTATTTTATCATGGTACTTTCTTGGGGAAAATAAAGTATTGTTAAAAACAAAGATCACACTCTATACGGATGAGATCTGATGTAAGGACTGCACATTCAGACACCTTTGCATGCAGTGCATTGCCTAATGGGGATATAATCCGTTGCCTTTGGTGCCACTATAATGTTCTCTAATTCAATTGCTTAAACGAAAGTTGTACCTGAGATATATAATATCAGCTTAGTTATTTTTATTAGCTCTCTGCCAAACCTGTTAGTTACCCTATGTTCTTTCCTATTTTAAGTAAGTCTGGTAACTGCTTTTGAATTTCCCAGTAAAAGCTTCCCACATTACTAGTTGAATAAAATTATAACAAAGTAAAGATACCTGACAATCTTTAGTTCCATACCTATAAGCTTTAAGATTACTGGATCCATTTACAACCCGATACTCTTAACAACTGTGTACCACAGACCATCAGTTTTCGTCCAGTACCTCCTGCACCGGGCAGAACTGGCCACTAGTCCTTACACCCATGGGAAGTCCTGACTTATGGCCTGTTAAACAGGCATGGTAAGATAGAGTGGTGTATTTGTTTGTCTCAATAATAAACCAAAACAAGTATACATGTTGAGATGTCATGTGATGGAAGATGTATATGAAGGAGCTACAGGCCATTTCAGCAATTACTCACCTGTGCGTGTTTGTTTTCAGGCCGTGACATTCCCTTTCAGTCACTTTCCGTGCTCTTTTTCCCTCCCTCAACACGCAGCAGCAGCAGCAGCAGCAGGACACGGGCAGCAGAACGCTGTCCTACATGGGTTCTCAGGCCATGGGCGCTGGTCCCACGCACCGGTGCAATCCCTGGGATTTCACTCAATGGCTGCCTGTTCTGATTGAACACAAAGATAAACCCTCTGTCCCGTTCTTCAGTGTTCATAACGGAAATGATAAATCTTACACATTCACCTGAAATAGGAAATCACTGTGTAAGCATAGACACTCTCAGGTCCTGAGCAGTGCTGAATCATCGAGCTTTTGAATAGCGACCTTGCTCTTGTATCCTTTTGGAATTAGAGAGGAAGTAGCAACTCATGTGGTTTGGATTACACCAAAGAAACCAAGACTGCTGCAGGAGCCCTGAAGCAGACTGTTTACGTGGTTTAGCAGCAGGAGGCCTATAACTCCATAAATTACCCCTCCACCAGCAGGGCTTGCCGTGGTAACAAGAATGCCTGGAGAGAGTTAACAACAAGGGCAGACTAAAATGAAAAAAGCAAGTGAAGAGATGCAAGAAGTGTGGCATCTTAATGAATTTATAATTATTGCATTCCTAATGAGAACAGAGCGTTCCCATCTGTCTCTGGTGTGACTCACTGGGATAAAAATGTTATTTGTTACAATTTGGTACTAACTGGAAAATATTCTTATTTTTGTAGTGTTCTCGGAATCGGTACAGATAATTGTTGACACTTTGGAGAGTAATTTATAATATGGGTGATGCTGTTATCTTTTGTTAGATGGTGGGGAAAAGAGCAGAGAGTAAATTTCATTTTAAGTAAGAAATAAATTTGTAAATAAATAAATAAATTCCAGTCTTATGGGTCCCAAAGCCTCTTCCTGCCACCAGTGTCTTGAATTAAACATCCTCACTCAGCAACATTATCCCCCCTCCCCCATTAACCTTCAAGCGCATTCCTTCCTTCAGGCATCTTCTATGGAAAATCCTACTTAATGTAGGCTTCTCTCTCATTTGGTCACTCACCAGCCCCATTTTAACCCAGGGAGAAAGCAATACATCTTTACCTGTTTTTTTTTTCTTATTAGTTGACTTTTTTCTACTTTATCTCATCATCTGAGGCATCAACCTGGTACTTCATTAATTTCCTCCCCCAAATGCTTTTTCTCTGTTCACTGTGGGTGTTCAAGAATAGGATAATTTCCTCACATCTTCCACCTTCTTAGCACTTCAGTGTGCACTTGGCACTTGTCAGGTCTTTGCATTTTCTTGTGCAAGCCACTGCCAGTCTCTAAGAACACTATTGGACCTTGTGGCACAGCTGGGCCTGGGTCCAAGATGGACCAAAATAAATAGAGATGGCTATGGTACTATGTAGGTGACACATCCTGTATCTCACTTGGTCCCATTAGTGCATCTAGGTCACTGACAGAATAGTCATTGATCGGTTCCTTCTTTCTGCTGTCTAAACCTGTTACCATCACAGAGAATTCAGTTGCTGAACTGTCTATACAGAGAGCAGCATGCCGTGATTCTCAATATGTGTCAGATTATGAAAGTCAGAGAAGAGCGCATCTGCTCAGTTGTGTTTCTGACTGACTGACTCCCAGTGCCGTATCTGCACTCAGCTCTTCTTAATTCCAGATGCACAAGCTGCAGAGGGGTTCTTGGTGTCCTCCACCCCTGTGTCTGAGATGAATCTGATCTTAAGTGAGAAGGGAAATGCTGTACAGTGTAATGGAGTTGGAGGGAGAGATGGGCACCTTTTCTCCCATCTTCAGTGTGTGTGTGTGTAGGGGGTGTGTGTGTAGGGGGGGTTTAGGGAGGTGTATGGGGGGGATGTTCCTGGGAACTCTTCAATTCCCAGTTTTGTTAACAGGTGAACTGGTAGTAGTAGATGACTAATATTAGAGACGATGCCATATTCAGCTTTTTGTTTTAACCCATACAGGTATTTAACCAGGAGGGAGAATTCATACTGAAGTTTGGATCAAATGGAGAAGGAAATGGACAATTTAATGCACCAACTGGTGTAGCTGTAGATTCTAATGGAAATATTATCGTAGCAGATTGGGGAAACAGCCGAATACAGGTAGAAATTTCTGTATTTCAAAGGTGCTTGATTAGGAAAACTAATGGATTGATAACTCTGGCCACTGAAGTCTTCAGACTTCCCAAGAAACAGGATAGCAGCATTAGAAGTGATGTGGTTTCTAACACAGCCTTTTATATGCCTCATTGCTGGTCTGTCCACTTTTAGAACGGTGGTGTCAGATCATGGACTTTCCAGTGTGACCCATAGCAGCTCTGATGGTTCTTGTGACCGAGGCTTTTGTCTCCAAGTAGTTCCCCAAAAGCTATTTGATTAGTTAGGAGACTTGCAAGCATTGCTGAGATGATAGTAATTTATAATCACCATAACAGAAGATTGGAGACATGGTGGAAAATACGAAAGTATAGACCCTGAGGCATACGCAGCAGATTTTTATCATCTTTTTTAAATGTTGAGAAAATATTCTACTTTTAAGTTATGAGAGTTGCACTCTTTTTATCTTTCAAGTGCTAATCACAAAGTCTTATTTGCCAAAGAATACCTAATAAATAACTAAGTGTATGTATTATTTTCACGGAATATAAAAATGAGGGAGCTGCTTATGAGTTGTTCTCAGGAAGCACTGTCAACAGTGTAAACAAATCCCTGGTTTTCTCTGTGTGGGAACCTAAGAGTCATACTAGCCACAACAGTAATATTTGTTAGGAAAACAAGGTGTTGGTTGAGTTCCTGATTGAGTTTGATTTATTGTAGTTGGCTATTTTTAGAACAAGGAACAGCCAAGGTGCTCTTTTTATTATTATTTCATTGCATACTTAATTCTTGCCAAAGATCCTGGCAGCTTTAATTAAGTTCTTTTTAATAAGAAAATACATTTGTATATAAACTTGTATATTATGAGAATAACAGATCAGATTCTGCCCTTGTTTATTCTAGTGTATGTCAACCATTTCAGAAATGAGAAGTATAATGGTATAATTGAGAGCAGACTTGTGTCCCCTACTTTTCTTTTTTATTCATAACATTTATTCTGTGCTTTCTCGCCCTCAAAGGTTTTTGATGGAAGTGGATCATTTTTATCCTACATTAACACCTCTGCTGACCCACTTTATGGTCCCCAAGGTCTGGCCCTTACTTCAGATGGCCATGTTGTAGTTGCAGACTCTGGAAATCACTGCTTCAAGGTCTATCGATACTTACAGTAGCAATGAGCTCTGGAGCTGGATAATCGTCCACCCTTAAGAAAAGACTGGTCCTAGAGATCCAATGCAGGATATCTCCTACTTTGAGTTCATTTTTAATAATGAAGGAGTCTCTTATGGACTTCTCATGTTAATTTCCAAACTTACCTTGTTTACATAGGATTTGCACCTCTTATGTTTCTCACTGAACTTTTTGTTGTAAGGGTTAATACACAAAATCCTCTTTAACTGAATTCACAAAGACGATGTGATATTAAACGCAAACTGCAACTTATGGAACTGGAATTAACTAATTAGGCAAAAATGAGAAAAATTTGGGAAAAGTCCCCAAAGCTTTTTGAAGACTGCGAAGGGTAGCTCCTGCTTAGAGCTTCCAAATTTGAAGAAGTATCATTATTATGCATTATTTAACTCAGAGGTGATCCTGGGAATCGTCTAGATCTCATTATCATGGTAGGTGTTACGCTTCTAACATTCTTCAGTCTTACTATCTATAACAAGTAGGTCCTTTTAGTATAAGGTTAAGTCTCACAAAATTCGTCTAGCTCTAACCGTCAGACCTAACACAGCTCAACGTTTAGCACTATGAGAATCAATGCAAATTCCCTACTCATGCGGGATTAATGAAGGATTGTTTCATGTGCTTATTTTTCACTCTTCCTCTTGCTCAATGTGCTGGAAGGACTTTGCAGAAACCTGACACTTCTAAAGCTCTGGAAAAACTTAATTGTATTGATATATTAGTGAGAGCTGTATTTCTGTATAACAGCAGACCTTTTGACACCAAACTAGTTTATTACAATCAGGGTCATTACAATGTCAACTCAATTAACCTCATGTGTGCCACTCTTTCGTACATGTTCATTGCCATGTTTCCTTAAGGCAACTCATTGTATTAACCAATAAAATAAAATGCAGCATCACACAGGACAGAAAGCCAGAGAGGTACCCCTATGGAGGACCTACATTATACAACCAAAGGAACTGTGGCGAACAGAGGTTGTATAGGAAAGCCAAGGGTTACCAAAGCTATTTGTTTTTACATGAGAAAAAATACATTACAAATAAGAATGAATTTGAACCAATTCCTGAAGTCTTTCATCAAAGGGAATTTTGTTAGAGGACAAAATAAGGACTGTGAGATTTGTTCCGATTTCTTTGTATGTATGTACGTATGACTGATTGACAGAAAAATAAAAAAAAGCAAATGTAGGTTATTTCACAAACTGGAACGTATGTATGCCATTTGACAATGGCAATACTCTGAAAAATGTCCCTCCTTCTTCCTGCCAGATTTCTCTACTGTGTTCTTTGTTGAAGTATTAATTTAATTGGAAATGCTTACAATCGTATGACTTGGTTCTGTTTTTAATGGTTTTTTTTTAAGTGTGAACTTGTCCTTTTTAAAGTAGGATTGGCTTTATTCTTATTTCTAAATCCAGTAGTCAAAGGATGAATTGCTACCGTAGCCTAATATAGATAGAGTGGTGCTCACTCTTAAACGTCGTTTGAGGAGCTGGTGAGCTTGCTGCCAATGCCTACAATAGCCTGGGAAGCACTGTCTTTCTTTTCTCATTTTTAGGGCCTTGAAACAAAAGGGCATTGGGTCAGGAACAAGGGAGTATTTTAAGCATGTTTGCAAAATGGAAAGAAATCTTTGTTAAACAACTTGTTATAAGTACTTGTCTTATTTTGAAAAGGTTAAGGTTGTTGTTTCAGTGAATTTGAGAAAAACTAATGGTTTTTTTGTAAAGACGCATTTGACTTGTAAAAATGCAGACCCCAAGATTCTTAAATGTGGAGTTTGTCTGTTTTTTACTTACTGTTTCTTAAAGATATTTCCTCTTCTTTCCCTTCTTTATTTTTTGCACATAGAGCCAATTTACAAATTCCATGCAAAGATAAGTTTCCTTATTTCATTGGAATAAATATTTTGTGTATAAAGCTTAAGGTTTGGACTATATAATGCAGCTAAGAAACTGGTGGTAACATTTTTGAAATGTTAAAACTCAAGTTTGTTATTACCAAGAGAACAAAATATCCTCTGCTTGAACTGAGTTTGTCCTAAAATTCTGAAGATGGTATCTCAGTCATTACACAATAAACTGTCCTATCAAAATTTTAAAAAGTTGTAGATCAAATTTTCTGATGATCAAGTAATTTCCTTCTAAGTGTCCTTATAAGCAACCTTCTGGCAAACAAACAATTTCTGACATTGGAATGCCCTTAAATGGCGAATTTATCAATGAAGAAAAGGTACGTAGCATTTTAACTGTGTTTATTAACATAGAGAAGAGGTTGCACAGGTTCTTTGAGATAAAAATTTAAAAAGAAAATGAGAATTGTGCTGTTGCTGTCAGTTATGGATAATATTAATCAAATCTAGTTCCAAATTTGGATTTTTATAATAACATTTTACTAAACTTGCATGGTTTCTACTCAGGAAACATTGCCAAATCCTCTGTTGCCAGGAACTCTGAGAAGCACAGAAATCAGACCCTAACCTATATATCAAAACATATACTTAAGACTGTACTATTCCATGTATACACTTTTCTTCAAAACATTTTCAGTCCCTTTGACCCCGTATTGTTTACCAGGATTTTATATAACCTATGTGAACCCAGTGCATCCTGATGAAATACGGAATTCTGCACACAACCCAGCTAACAGCTGTTAGAGGTGATGTGGATTTTTTTCTTAAGACTGAATAGTCTTTTGGGTTTTCAGACATTTATCACCAGTGCAGCACTTACTGCACCTGAAAAATGTCACTAATTTGGAGTTCCTTCTGATAGCAAATGGTGCCAACTACAATTTCAACTTCAGTGGCATAGGGCATTCCCTTCCAAGGTCTGACCTTATCTGCCTGGCACCGGGCAACTAACACATTGGTTTTACGGTGTGCTTCTGAAGCCAACTTAGCTAAAATGCTTGGCTTACAAACCTTACAAAGAGCAACCAAAGCAGAAATTCTGTTCTAAAAAACTGGCAGATTTTTTTCCTCATCCAATTAAGTGAGCGTCAGAATTGCACTACTTGATTTGCTGAGTTGTTAGCGTTTATTAAAGGCTTTATAGGCATTCTGCTGCCAGATTTCAGGTATAACCAAATGTTCCCTTGACTTCCCTGGAATGCAGCACAGCATGTATGGTGAAAGTATGTGCTTCATTTAACTAATCTTCAACTCAAAAGTAATCTCAAAAGGTTATCAGATCTTGTGTAATTTGGAGCATTTTAGGACAAACTCGCCAACTGTATTTTCATTGTTTTGTGAACAGAATAAAAGGATCTGTTCAGATAAATCCAGTATAAACAGTAGGGGATTTTTACATAGGCTAAACCAGCAGCAATGTAGCTGAAAAAGAAAAGGAAAATGGTTTAGGCAAGCATTTGCCTAATGTAGATGGAGAGTTATTTATTAGTAAATGCTCTTCTGTTCTGTAAAAGCTAGAGGGCTTTCGATTTTATGTCAATATTTTTTATAACTAAGGATCTAGTGTTGCCATAATGAGAACTATAAGTGCCCAATATGTTGTGTTTGTTATAAAGAAATGACTTTTGGTTGTGGGTGACAGCTAGTTATGAAATCATGATGTACGTTGAAAATTTTCTTCAAGAATTGTGAGCAGTGATTGTTTTGGCCTGTTTGTGGAGAGTGTGCGAAAGGTATTTGTGCTACCGAGTACGAAGATTCCTAACGCGTTGTGTTGTTTCTGATGAATGTACAGCACTTCAGTTGATGTTTGTGAGCAACACGACCTTAACCCTGACACTTTTGCTTTGGCTTTATGACATGGGAATGTTCCCTAAGCCGCACAGTGTATGGCAGTAGCCCCTGTTAGAAATCTCTACCATTTAATACGCTGCAGCTTTCCAGTTCTAGGAGTGAGGCTGTCTTTTTTCTTTATTTTTTTTTTTAAAGTTTTTGTACATTCCATCTTTGTAAGTAAATCTTGTATGTTTTGTGTACATGTAAGCCTTGCACTCTCTTGACACTCATAATGAAATATTCTTCTCACTTGTTTTTTTTGCTGTTGTTTTTGGTTTTTTTAAATCCCTGTGAGGCTAAATACAAACTTTGTCTCCTTAAGGTCAAGGATGAAAGATGCGCATCAAACTCTTTGTGTGTGTGTGTGTGTGTGTGTGTGTAGTTTTAGCTTCCTGTGTGCCACAGTATTCTTAATGCTTTAGCCGATGATTAAAAAAAAATTACTCTGTCTTGGAAATGTAGGAAAACCAGAGTCAAATGTGTACCTTTACCACGCACAAAAATTTCAAATAATAAAGCTTGTTTCCTCTGTTATTTTCATGGTTGAGGATTTATTATTCATATATCTCATATGAATGTCTCAAATAGCCCCATAATGCTGGAAGATGGCTAATTTTTTCCAAAAAAACCCACCTGCCACCACAGGTCACAAGCCAAGAAAACTGTGATTGTTTCACGGGTGTTAGGCTTTTATGTAGACACAGAGGAAGGAGGGACTTGGGTCCTTCTTGGGAAGAAGGTGGGGAGTTGGAGCTTCCTTGTCTCGTCCCTTCCTTCTTCAGTTCAGTAATCAAAATGAACATTTTCATTGGCGGCAGTAAGACTATGAGTCGTAAGCTTTTCCATTCGCATCATGGAAGTATACAGTACCTTTCAGCTATGCTGTGCTATAGTCTTTCAAGGGTCTGCTACAGAAAACCAAATATAAATTATTGTAGAAGAACAGAAAGTTTGCCTTAGGAGTTCACTCTTGACTCCTTTCCTGTAAGAACAAATTTTCAGCTCATGTTAACTTTCATTTTACATAGTTCATATGTCTTCTTGGTCACTGGTGAACTCTCCAAACCTGAATCCTTTGAGAACTCAGTTTGACTGGGAACTCGCTCACGAAGTAAGAGAGAATCTTCAGATGCATCATTTGGCTGGAGGGGACCAGAGAGGTCAGACTCGGTGATGTGTGTTTGCTCAGTGGCAGGACAGTCAGAAATGAGACAGCTGAAATACAGAGCAGCCATCCTTTTTCATGGATCTTGCCCCAAACCCTCTAAAGGAATCCATGTTTTATTCTTTCTTGCAAGTCATAGGGAATGTCAGCAGTCACATTTTGAGGCCTTTTTTTTCCTGAAGGCAAATTTACTGCAACATAATGGACCAATTTTGTTTTTCTTTGTCAGTCTTCAGATGAATATATGTCCAGAAAATATGGTCTTGGTGCTGAATGGACTGGAGTATATTGTCTGTCTGCCCTGAAGTTCAGATGCTTACAAGGGGCTTTATTTGGCTGCCAGAAAAAAAAAAATCTCAGAGCTTGAAGCAGAGCAGTGTTGGTTTGATATTCAGAGTTGTGGAGCACCTGCTCCTTCCCATGCATAAAAGACCATGAAGAAGACCAGAAGAGATAGCACAGGATACCCTGAAGCTGCAGGGCTGAGTAGACGAGACTCTTGTGGCATTCCCAATCTTCACTCGCTAGAAATTTTTGCTATCCCCTGCATTATTCCAGCAGAGGCTCTCCACCACTGAGGAAAATGAGACAGGCAGGCAGAACGCTGAGACTGGGGAACACTGCCCTTTACCAGG